AATAAAACTGTACAATAGAGAACACTTAAACAATATTAAACGTGAGTGAGTATATCAATAATTATAAAATGTATTATTTATTTAGGAAATAATATTTTTCAACCTGCTGGACAGAGTCGCAAACTGCTGGTAATCATGTGGATTCTTGCTGTATCTACTCTGGTATATAGCTATAGTGGATGTTTGGTGTCATTTCTATCATTTTCTGGTTTAGAAGATGTACCGAGAACATTTCCCGACTTATTTCAGGCTGTAAAGAACGGACATTATACATTGAGTACTCATATGAAATCAGTAATAGGAGCGGTGGTTAAGGTATTTGATGTTTGAGATATAATATTAGCTAATAACTGTAATTCTGAATTCATCTATTATTTTTCTGGTATTTGAAGAAAGCGAAGAAAGAACGAATGGATTTCAAAAACTAACATTTATTGTAGGAAAATAGATATAACCACACTCTTTGCCCTAATAAATGAACAGACTCGAAAATATCTATATTTACAAACTCTCAATTTTTAGTCATATTTTTTAAACTTATTTAATTTAAAATATATGTTCTCTACCTCAAATCAGTAGTTTTGCCCTGTCCCTGTACATCATACTTTTCCGGTTAGCAACATAGTCTTGATGGTCGTCTACCTAACTTCTTTCAGGGGACATTTTTGAACTGAAATAACGTGACTTACGGACTGCCCTACGATTTATATTTCTCGTTACGGCTTTCATCTATCTTACTCCAAACTCTAGATTAAGAAAAGACAGACAGACGGTTGACAGTGAAAATTTATTGTCTATTTTCTTCAAATTGCAACCGAAAAGTTACAATAATGCAGCTGAAATCTACAATACACGAAGACAAGAACTCCATGTCTACAGTTTAAATATTTTTTACAGTTGTGTATGACTAAATTATCTTGTTACATTATAAGTGATTTTAAGAGCAATAACTTTATATAATAGAAAACAATAGTGACAACTTATGTGCAATTTAAATAACTCTGCTGACATCTCTAATCAAATTCTTTTGTAGAAATTAATTAAAGGTAATTTAACTACAATATTCGAGGTAAAGTATGGAAGAAAGGATGTAGAAAGGGAAGTAGTATAGTTCAATTCAACGAATCTTGAATGGACAATGTGTTGTATTCAATCAGAGCTATAGAAATTTTATTTTAAAAATATACTCTGGTGACTTCAAACAATAAAAAGATCTTAAATTGTATTGAACAATTTTAATATTAATCGTCACGAAACAGTTTTTATAACAATATTCTTGTACTTTGTCGAACACTACCTAAATGATGGTAGTCTTATTGGACAAGCCTGACGTTTCGAATGAATGAGTAATTTTTATTAACAACCTTAGTATGTTGCGAAAGTAATTGAAACCGAGTCAACAAAAAATCTGGTACTTTTATTTAAGGCAAGACAATATTAACTGCGCTTCGATAAGAAAACCAATTAAGAGTCTATATGAAACCAAATATTTTCTCTCGTTTATTGTAGGCAAGTTCCTTTATTTCTCTATAACAACCGACGAGAAAATTATTTTATTATTTTAATTATAAATGTTAAAAAGCTTGTTCTTTATCGTTTAAATTTTAAAATTGTATATTTGTTAATCTTAATCTATTAGGTCCGTGGCGACTCAAAGTGTAGTTTAGTATATTTCTCTATATTTGGCGTTATTATTTAGCGTTTATCTTTAAACTGATACATAAAACTGATTGTATTTTTCTGGTTATATCAATATACGCAATTTATTTAATTCTGAAAATTTCTTAACACAATCATCAGGTTGGGTTCTGGGACGTGGAATCTAAAGTTAGTGTCAGACATTTCATATTCTTTTAGTGATTAATTAACAGATGAACCCTGTCTACATGTTAACCTGTATTGTGTGGATTTTTATTTATTGTTAAATATTGACATTTTAGTTAAAAATCAACGTATTTCGTGTGTAATACAGTGCAAATAATTGCATAATAAAATATCTTATGTCAATACGTTAAAATTAATATATTTAATAAATTAACTTTATTTATAACAGAAAGGAGAAACAGAATCAACTGCTACTATGAAAAAATTTCTTACCGAAGGAAAATTGGTGGAAATAGAAAAAAGACATTTTTTTGAAAGGATGTTTGCAATTATAAGTTTCAGCAACATCGTGTTATTTAATGTTAAGACAATAGGAGAGGAAAATTATCTGTCTTCTACAGATAATCTGTTTATGCAATTTGTGTCATTTGGCCTAAGAAAAAATTTCCCCTTAAAAACAGAATTTGATCAAATGTGAGTATATGAATAGTACCTAAAAATAATTTTTGAACAAAATACATAAAAATTAACTTTACATGAATAAAAATGTGTTTCGTAAATTATTTTATTATTTTAAAATTAACACATAATGTTGTTTCTTCGCATATATTTTTATTTCAGTTTGAGAAGATGCCTTGAAGCAGGATTACAAGAAAAATTTGTTTCTGATGAGATACTTCGTCACAGCAATGAAAGACAGTCGTTGTTCGTAGAACCTGATGATTTTCGTCCTTTAACATTAAATGATTTGTTTGGATCATTCGGAATACTAATAATTGGACATACAATTTCAACAATTATATTTATTTTGGAAATTATCGTTAAACAAATAACTTCTCACTATTTAAAATAAATTGAAATGTTCTAGATTTATTTTCTAACCAATATAGAATTAGAAGATGTAAAATATAATTTTATTTTTCTCTATGTCATATAAGCAACACTAGATCGATTTTGAGTAAATGAATGTATATCTATATACTGTACAACTAGCTGTTATTCACGACTTTGCCCGCGCGGATTTTGCAAACAAACTCCATTTATATTCAGTATTTCAACAACCATAGTAATTGTTATTTAACATCTACCGCTGACAGTGATGTAAATTGCTGAGAATCGAACTAACTGTTTTCAATTTGATCAATTTTCTGGAATGTTTACATCATTCTATAATCGAACCAATATGCAATAACAAATTCGAATTTAAAACAGTGCGAACATTTAGTTAAAAAGTCGAAATATATAAAAATATTTATAACAATGTCTGAAATGTTACCAATTTCATACACCTAAGTACTCATTGAAGACTAAACGTAGTTGAAAACAAAAAATCGCATCTAAAATTGTACAGTAGAAGTCGTTCTTCAGGTTAATCTTAATGCTCTCCTTCTCCATTCGCAAGGAAATTTCGAAAAATCACTCCTTAATGTGCGCTTTCATGACGTACTCTAACTGTGTACAAAATTTCACTTCTTTAGAATTAGCTGTTTGCTTTGGGCGATGAAGAATCAATCATACAGTCAGTCAAGACAAGTAATTTTATATATATAGATAATTGCATTGCAGTGTTTATAATATATCAAACTGAATAGCATAGTACTTAATATATCCAGAATACAAAAACATTCGAATTTCTGGGTTAGATGGAATTTCGCTTATTCAAAACACCTCTGATTATTCAACATCGAGAATTCGCTATGATTTTTATAAAGAATGTATATGTATTATTAGCTCGTCTAAAGTTGTATAAAATTTTGTAATTATATCTATTCTATTTATTTATCTATTATTTATTATTCTATCTATCCGTATATACATCTATTCTATTCTATCTGTTATATAACTCTTGTATTATGTAATTTTAATATATATTAACATACTAACCTATCAAAATCTATTTAGCTAAAAATTATTATATAATTCAAATAATGTAAATACAATTAGTGTGAAATAAAGAAAAATAACATCTGAGTTTTAGTTCCTGAATCTTTTAAATGAAATATTTATAATAGGATATAAAATCTCACAGCAAACTAGTCTATTACATTGTAGACTGTTCAGTTACCAAAATTTAAAAAGCCTATAAAAAACATAATGACACAAATACTAAATAAAAAAATAATAAGCCATTCACTACTATCTCACAATGATATATCGTTTGTCATGAATATACACTGATGTTTAAAGTTCAGGATAATGGCTGTTTCTGTGAATATTGTGCTAAACAAAAGGCAGAATCAACCGCATATAGGTATTGTCAGCCAGAAACCTATTTCATATAAAGGAAGCAATTGAAGAACACATAAAAAAATTTTATTGCATAATTTTTAAAAAAATGCATAATGGAGAAAAGAAAATGTAAAAGAGGGGGTTGTCTGACACTGATAGAATAAATTTCTACAATTGTTCAAACAATAAGAACAGTAATAACTCCTTGCTGCAATACAAACGTCATAGTGATGTTTTACGCTCCAAACGAAGGTCAATTGCGATTTTCCAAATCTTGCAACAAAATAACTTTCAGGTCAGCCATGTTCCTTGGTAGAGGCTGGCGAGATTACTCTTTCGTCCATTTCACACATGCACAATCAGGTTTAAGTCAGGAGAACATGCTAGGATTTCATGTTTTGAATAACTTCGTTTTGAATAAAAACGTCAATCAGCTGAGAACTGTATGATCTTGTCTTACTGTCCATGAATAAGAACAGTTGATTTATAGCCACTCGGAAAATGACCAACATCATGAGGTTCGAGAAAGTTATCTCTATACCTTGTTCCATCAAGTAACCGAAAAGTGTGTGGTGTGTAGGCCGAACGTGTGAACGTGCTTCTATGGTGTAAAGAGTGAGTAAGAAAAGGTCGATTTCCTATAGTAACCTGCTCTCAGAATTAAAATTAGTATCTAAACAATGCCCAACTATTTGAGATTATATGAAGAATCTTGAAAATGTGGTGTGTAATTATTTCTATGTTTTGTACGAATTTGTTCATTTTTATAATCATTTGTTACAATTAATAGTTAAAAAGTTCTTTGTATTGTTTTTTATTTTAAATGACGATTTTCTTTGACAATGGAATGATAATTTAACATATCAGATATAGCCACTTTATTCAATATCGTTTTTATTAACTTATGGCAAGGCAACACTTGGGCGAATCTGCCTAGGGGAATGCTTTCTGAAATGTGTTATCAATGGTAACTAGCCCCTATTTACTCGTTACAGATGTGAAGAAATTTCGAAAACTCTACGTGGCCTGCCCATCAAATAATTGCATATTTCTCGCTTATAAGATAGATGCACAATTAATTTAAATCCACATTTAATTCAATAAGAAAGAGTAATTTATTACATATGAGGTCTGTTCCAAAAATGCATGAACTGATATCATTGTTCTGAGTTACTTCGGAGATTGCGACACTAGCAAAAATATTTTACGTGGCCTGCCCGTCAAAAATAGTTGCTTACGATCTGACAAGGAACAATTATTTCTTACTTTAAGATTTTTGTCCGTATATGACTATTTGCCTTTCTACCTTACATACTCAGGACTTGTTATACATCATTGTTACAGCTTTTAAATTATAGTGTAATGAATTATGAACAAAAATATTTGTTTATAATATTGCGAAATGCATCTCAGGACAGATCATAATACAATTCTTTCTTCATTACTTTACTATGACGAACATGATGTACTGGTAAACACTGATAATACATGTAAAAGTCACTTATTAACAGAAATACGTTTTACTAACTTAAAAAAGTTCAAAATATGATAATATACATACTTTAAATAACATATTTTTTTACATATTTTAGACATTCCAACAATATAATGATGCAAATTCAAATTGCCATTCGACGGTATGTTTTACTTTTTGCCTATTGCCCACTTACTTTCTGTCGTTGAATCAGCATGTTTCTTAAACTGGGTGTAACCTGCAAGACGTCGTCCGTTTTATAGGTGTCTGAAGTATTGATATATTTTGTTACGAATACAGCAACTTTTCATAAATTCCTGAAGACTGTATGTCATGTTGTTTGCTGTGTTCTGGTAACAGCGTTGCTCGGATCATTTATTAGAATAACCTTCGTTTGTATGGATGCAGAATACAGTCGATCCCCCTATAAGATCATTGATTTTTCCGTTTTATCTGAATAACATGTTGTACGAGTCACTTAGATTTTACAAATATGTGAGCCGTTCACAGCCCGGCACACGTATTTGTAAAATCTAAGTGACTCGTACAACATGTAATTCAGATAAAACGGAAAAATCAATGATCTTATAGGGGGATTGACTGTACTTAATATCTAGTCTACCTTATATTGTAGAAACCTTGATTATTGCAGCCTTCATTTTGTCGCTGTTACCTTTTGTATTTAATTGTACGCAAACGCTGTTGTTCTTAACAAATCGCACAGATTTATTCAATATCCTTGGCTAATTTGGTTTAATGTTGTCCATGAAAGCCAGTCTAATTACAGTTCGTGAAAAGCTAATGTTTTCCTTGGAATAAACTAGGGCAGCAAGTGTACCAGCACTGTTGTGGGTTGTTTTTTGGCGGCAGTTGGCAGACTGGTTGGAGAAGTTGTTTATTTTTGTGTCAATCATTGAACCAAATCACTCCTTTCCTTTTCAAAACACACAACTTTCTTTCCAATTCATTGGCAGTGTCCGAGAGATTTCTGGCTCGCGTTATCGATTACTTTATTCAACATCCTGGTGTCGATATCTTTATCAGAGCAGCTAGAGAAAAAAGAGACAGTTTTGTCAGCTACAAAAAAGCTGTTGCAGCTTCGTACATTTTAGTTCTGTATACCATGCATATAAGAGTGCTTCCATCTTCTCGACAGTTAGCCAAAATTATGTGCAATAACTCCTATAATTTAATGCGAACTGATAAGACATCTATACCAAACCCCTCAGCCCAGGTACCACCAGTAGAAAAAGTGGTTTTCAAGATCCAACCAACTAGCTTAGACCTAGCTAACTAAAGACTATTAAACTAACTTAATATAACATACAACCTCAAAATCATCGAGCAAAAAAGCCAAAAAATAGCAAAAAACTGGAAATACTGTAGAGTAGATACCAAACTACTGCAGCTATCCAAACAGGAAAATTAGCAATAACAGCAAATAACTTAGACTTAACTTTCTTATTAAATGCAAAAACTATCAATTTAACCTAGCCTAAGAAAACTCTGATTAAGCTACTAATGTCCCAAGGAAAATACTTAGTCTAATTTATAGAACAAACTAGCTCATAGAAACAAAGACAAAAGACAAAAACGAATTCTACAAGCGGAGAACATAATAACTTGAATTTAAATAAAAATCGACAAGTTTCTGCTAGGTCAAAACCAAACTGTAGAGATTAAGCCAAATGAAATATTTTCTTGTAAAAATGTAAATATATACTTGTAAAACAGAAACTATCTAACCAAAATTGAAGAACGAAGTATCAGTCGACTCTAGAACACCAGTCCTAACTAATGAACACAAAACAGAATGAAAATTCCAAAAAATTTTGTGGGTACCGTTTTTTACCAGACAACTTATCTCCCATCAAAGAAAAACTCACAAAATAAGACTGTGACTTTCATATAAATTGTCGTAACATTTTACATGGCGCAAATTTTTATATCTCAAATGTTTTGGTTTGGATTATTATTTTTCAACTATCACTAACTATTCTATATACGAAAGTAATTTATACACATTGAATTCTGTTTATGGATAGGGGTGTTTATGGATAGGGGTGTTTTGAAAGTAAACTGATATAATTTTGTTTTAAAATTATTGACGTACGACACAGGTGATGTCAATCTATACGTCCAAATATGCGTATATTGATATATCCAAACTTCGAATTCAAGAAAATTGGATGCTCGAAAGCGAATAAAGTTAAAATACAGAAGTTCCATCAAAACGCAGTTGCAAAACATACTGTGAAACACTGTCTTTAATTAACATA